TACGATAATGTTATGTGACAATAAACTTGTAACGCCTTGTAGTACAAACCCACCTTAGATTGTTGGGTACAACGAAATTGAAAACAAAACACATGACAGACTTATTTATAATAATATGCTCTGTTTACATTATTTGTAGGCCGTTTTTACATCGTATCATTTTGTTTAAGATACAAGATATATCAGTATTTCGAATAGTTTGTCGGTATTTATTTTTACAAATTTCTAAGCTATAATCATCACTATTCCTTAAATTTTATAAAAAAATTAAAGAAAGGTACACATACAAATTAGTTTGACTTTTTCTATACGGTTTGAGTTTTTATCTAAAATTAATGTTTTTAACATACAATTCCACCTATATCATGACGTATTCATATCATAGGGTTCAGAAGTTTTAAAAGTTTGATACGCGGTTTGATTGTTTCACTAAATGACTGTTTTTCGTTTAAAAAACTTGTCATACGAGTGTGTTTCTTTGCTGCTATGCTGTGGTTTTCATATGTGAATATTGATTATTTGATCCAATCAATAGTTTAATTGAGTTCTAAAACTATCATAAACTTTGTTTAAAGTCTGTCTGAAAAAGGCCTTTTAAGTTTATTGAGATTGATTCTCTTAAAAATATTATTGTATCGGAAAAAAAATAATTGATTCAAACACTCGAACCCTGCATGCAGTAATTCGTGTCCAAAATAATATTATTGTTTGAACCGTTTTTAAAATTTTTAATATTTTTCAATAGGGTCAAATATTATGATGAATAAATTAACCCTTTTGAACCGAATTAAATAATTTTGTAAGCCATCCTCACGAATGGATTTCATTTATTATTATTTTAATACAATTAATTTTAATCGAACACAAAATAGGTAAATACCCATATACTGTATTATGTATTATGTCCATATCTGCAGAAGAGTAACGGTAAATCGACCCAAATCGTAAAATTTACATAACTATAAAATATAAATGAATAATTTTCAATCGTTGTTCGACAGCTTTCGAGGTTTATTAATCACTGCAATTTCCCTACCTACTTTATACGGAAGCTCGCGGTTTTGATGCTTCCGAATCAGATATAATATTTCAATATCACAAACATAATATATTATTATTAYCTATAMTCGTACTGTGAGTGTTAMATTTATGAGATATATGATTTTAAAAACAAATCCGTTTACGTTATTCAGAGTTTAAACACTTACACATGATCACGTTTAATGTTTAACGTTTTTAGTTTTATTTTTTTTTTTTGTACAAGGTCGATATAACCAAGGTATAAATGTTCAATTTCTTTAGTGTTAAAAGTTTTGGTAAATTATTATAACTAGTGAGAGTGTATTTAAATGTGAAAATATAATTTCTTCTAACTTACTAATCTATTATTTTTATCCATTTTTACTTCATGATATGATTTTAATTATAATATTTGAATTATCTACCTACCTAATTTGTTACCAATTATAAGTCTTCTTCTACTCCA